GCCCTCACTATTATAACAGATATTATACCGGTTACCCAAACTACTATCCTTACTACGCTGGCTACCGTTACCGCTACAGAGGATAAGGACGTAGGTAGGTATGGACTGTGGCATGCCTTGTGGCGATGTTCCTTTACTAGATGTCTGATAGTCCGGTCTGCTCACGCCGCTTTTTCAGGCATTGATAGTAAGGGGATCACTCTAAGGAAGCCTAACAAAACTGAGGAAATTTCTTTTGAATGTCGGAATAGCTGCGTATTGTGTACAAAATAAAAATTATAATAGATTAATGAAGAATATGCTTACAATCCTTTAACTTTCCTTCTCGAAGATGATGCACACTCGGGATTTCTCTAGTTCAGAAAAAGGCATTTTCATATGTTTTCTTGTTCTTTCCTTCGCTGTTTTACCTATATGTAAATATATCTGTGTACATATAAATAAATTCACAAATACACACACACACACATATATATGATTATATATGTATGTATGTGTGTTTATAGATATATCCGTATACATATCAATCTATATATGAATATATATATATGTATATATGCATATTTATATATGAATATATATGTATATGTATATATGTGCGTGAATATACATATAAATATGTATACATATATGTATATACACATATATATGTATATATGAACAGAAAGATTAACATGGTATACATGCGTATAATACGAAAAAAAAACGTTTCCTTCTTTAGACGAAAATAACGGATTTTGAATTCCAGTTTTCCACCATTCAACATTCAATACGAATATTTTTCTTACTGTGGTTATTACATATATTACATATAAGTTGATACATTCATAGCCATAACATTTTCTACCCCCATACACCTATATATATGTATATATAAACAATTATCATTAGTTTATATATATACATATATATGTATATATGTATATATATCATATAGATTACATACTTATACGTGTGTATGTGTGTGCATAATTGATTATGTGTAGTAATATATGGATGTACCCATGTAGTATATGTAACAGTTGATTAGGACGAACATCTTGCATTGGAATGAATAGTTATGCTATAGTAATATTCGTATGTATGTATATATATCTACACATATACCTAAACATACATACCGATATATATTCTTATGTTAACCCATTCGCGCCGGGTAAAATTGAACAAAAAATGGGGGAAATGCTGTGCTCATTTTTTATATTTTTTAATGAAATTTCTCTACACTAGATGGCTCTGCTTTACCGGATTTCATTTGGCGGGAAAATGTATTTTTACTAGTGCTATGAATATCGATGGTTATTTTTATTATAAACATTATAATTACTATAATGTTATAAACATTAGTAACAGCAAAATAAGATAATGCAAAATAATTTCGTAAATTAAAGAAAAGGGTAAACAGACGAGACAGGCAGTACAAGTGCAAGTGGAGCCATCTATGTTTGTAAACAATCAAACAAGTAAACTCACAGTGGGCCCGTCACGTATACGTGACGCCCGGCGCGAATGGGTTAATGTATATATAACTACATATACATATTCATATATAAATTTCTATACGCTAGTACACATACATACACATATATATGTGTGTGTTTATATATTCTTAAGCAATAATAATTCTGTAACACAAGAGAAATATTTTCTTGGTTGAATGAGATATAAATCAGCAATTATCAATTTCTTATGTGTGGTTGTGATAAGACATCAATATAATCTCAATCGGGGATCGAATCTTTATTTTGTAACCTAAAATTATAATCATAAATAAACTATTTTCTAGCAATCGCACTGGTGTATTTGGCAGCGGCCGTGGTTGCACACACCAATTCCAAAAAACATGAGCACTACCATTATCCCAACCACCATTACTACTAGCACTACTGTCATCATCACCATCTTGCCAAACCACTGGAGGGCGATGGAGAGGCCAGGCATCCAGGTGGTGGCACTTTCTTCGTGGTTCCTCAAGTTTACGGCATGGTTACCCTCACAGATACCATAGCCATCACAAGAAATCAGTAGAATCTGAACCTGTGCAACAAATATCATGGCTACAACCACTACTATCCTTATTACGCTGGTTACCGCTACCACAACTGGGGATAAGGAAGAAGCATAGACTGCAGCAGTCCTTGCGGCGATGGTTTGATAGTCCGACTTGCTCACGCCGGTTTTTCAGGCACAGACAGTGCAATGATCATTCTTAGGAGGCCGCAGAAAACTCAAGAATCGTATTTTGAATGTCGGAATAGATAGCTGTAAAAAATAAAGATTATGATAATTTAATGGATATATTTACAACCGTCAAACATCTTCAAACAAGTGTTCTCACACACTTGTTATGATCATTGTTATATTTGTGATTCAAAAAGCTAGCAAGATTTTTAAAAATACCTGAGTAGAATATGAACAGCACAAACGGCTACTGTAAATTTCAGATCCATAACCGTAACAAATTATAATTGAAAAGTGGATGTAGACAGAATAAACTTGTTTTTCTACTTCGAATCTGACATTCCTATTCACGTATAACATTTTATCCTAACTGAACACCATTTCTTAAGATGGAGGTTTGAAGTATAAGAATAGATGAAAATAGATGTATTGTAAATGGGAATGTAATATATTGTTTAAAAATAATTTATAGTGTCTATTAAGTGTATATATGTATATATTCAATAACATATAGAAGAAAAGAGACCAGCGCTACCTGTCTGTAGCGAAGGAATTTCCAGTCATTATTAGGGCAAGATATTAAATCGTCGAGCAGATACTCTTTCATATTGGAATTTCATCCTTTTATATTGTCGATCGATTACCCACACTCTGATACATACATTAAATTCTCTTGAAGCTTTAGATCTCCTATGAACAACAAAAAAAGGAATTTCATTTATATATGCGCATTTGTATTTACAAATCTATAAATATCTATCTGTATACCTACATATGAATATATATGTATGAATACAAAATAAAGATTTTTTTTTTTTTTTGAAGGACAAAATTAAAATTTGGATTTCACTTTTCCATTATCTGAAAAGGATTTTTTTTCTTAATGTCTATAACGTAAATTGCATATATACAGTGCATACGCATAACAATTCACACACACATTCATATATATTCTTATAAATGCATAAATTAATTCATATGCATATAATTGTTTATATCTTTAAACTTATATATACATATATGTGTGTGCATGTAGATATATATATATATATATATATATATATATATATATATATACATATATATATATATATATATATATATATATATATATATATATATATATAATATATATATACATATATATATATATATAATATATATATATATATATATATATATATATATATATATATATATATATATGCCTGTATATACATATATACATGTATGCATATATACATATATATATATATATATATATATATATATATATATATATATATATATATATATACATGTGTGTGTGTGTGTGTTCGTGCACACACACAGTATATATATGTATATATGTATATATATATATATATATATATATATATATATATATATATATTGTGAATATATACAGTATATGTATATGTACATATACATATATATGTAGTGTGTTATATATATATATATATATATATATATATATATATATATATATATATATATATATATATATATATATATATATATATATATATATATATATATATATATATATATATGTATATATATGCATATATATTTACATATATACAGCTGTAGTGTCCCCGTGACATCGGGCGTTACCTATCTAGATATATTTTTTCTGATATATTTTAGACCATCGCTTCTGCAATATACAGCTAAATATCTGTATTTTGATATTAACAAAGAACTTCTTTGTGTGTATATAGTAAAGCAACAAAAACAACAATAAAAATTGTGGCGAGAGGAACTGAGAGGACCTATTTTGTGTCGCTCTATATGAGATAAGTATTCGGAGATTTTCCGGAAGGGCCACGAGATTCCATGTAGCTTAAATAATAAATAAGCAAAGATGTTTTTGTATTTTACGTTTATTTATTTTACCTACACCTCCAGTTCCTCGACTTTGAGTTAACCCCCTTAATGTTTTTTTCCGAAATATTTTTATCACTTTGCACAAATCACGTTCTTTTCGTTTGCTTATTTTATTTTGGTTTAAGTATTATTCTAAAAGGGGCGGTCACAATCGGCTCATTCAGTGGTGAAAGGCCGCCCATGATACGGACCCGCCCACCACGCATGTATATTATATATATACATATATATACATATATATTTGTGAGTGTGTTTGAAGGAATATATGTTTGTGTTATATATTGGTTTCTTTTACATTAGTTCCACGACTAGATTCCGCTCAGTATCTTACTAATACTAATTTGTGAGCTGTGGACACACATTCACACACATACATATGTAAATATGTCTGTATACGCATATATGCCAAGAACACCCATAACACATATACATATACATATATATATATATATATATATATATATATATATATATATATATATATATGCAGGGCCATATGTATATATGTATATATATACATATATGTGTGTGTGCTTTACATGTTGGTTTATTTTACATCAGTTCCAAGACTAGATTCCCTTCAATATCTTAACGAAATGAATCTGTGACCTTTAACCTCTGGACAGCAAGTTTCTTTTATATTTCACTTAAATATTGATAACAGAGGGCAGCCCAATGTCCAAAGGTTTACACAGAAATACTATATCTCAGTCGTTCTTCACTTATTCCCCTTCCTTTAAATCGTACAAACAAAAAATAATTATTCTTTCAAAGGCTGAGGAAGTACATCCATGCGATTTGGTGCCTTCGGGTGCATGAACATATCCTGGTCGAAGGCACGCTCCGCACAGGAGCCGTATTAAAAGGGGCTACCGTTAACGGCAGTCAGCAAACACATCGTCCTCAGTGAGCCAAGACGAGGTCCAACCATGAAGCTTGTGGTAAGTCGACATACCTGTGAGAAAACGAAGAATTTATCGCTATATATTGTACAGACATTTTCATATATCTTGCATATATAGAAACAGAATACATATATATGATATAGACATATGATTATATATATGTCAAAGAACAACAATGGTAATCTAGATCTTGGAAAACAAAAAATTCATTTTATTCGAAAACAATATTTCAAATGATAATACATTGCCTATTTTTCAGACAATTACGTTCGTGTGTTTAGCAGCGGCCGTGGTAACATACGCCGATCCCGAACCACACAAGTATCACCACTACCCCATTTACTACTATGATCCCTACAACCATCATGTTAAACCACTGGAGGGAGATGGAGTGGCCAGACATCCAGGTGGCGGCACTTCCTTCGTGGCTTCTCAAGTTCACGGCCTCACTAAACGCTCAGCTGACACCACGCCGGAACCTAACCCTGAACCAGCAGCTGACCCAGTTACTGCCAATACCTATAGTTACCAGGTAGTCCACCAAGGTCATCCCCACTATGGATACCACCACGGCTATCGCTACCCTTCCAGTAACTACCGCTATAACCACTACTATGGTTATCCTCACAGATACCACAGCCACCACAAAAGATCAGTCGAATCTGAATCGGAACCTGAACCTCATTACACCTATCACGGACGCCCTCACTACTACAACAGATATTACCACGGTTACCCCGACCACTATCAATACTACGCCGGCTACCGTTACCGCTACAGAGGATAAGGAAGAGGTCAGATAAAGCAGGCCTTGTGGCGATGGTTCTCTACCAGGTGTCTGATAGTCCGGTTTGCTCACGCCGGTTTTTTCAGGCGCTTGTAGTCATAAAACTGATGAAGTGTCTTTTGAATGTCGGAATAGCTGTGCATTGTGCATAGAATAAAATTCATAATAATTTAATGGAGAATATGTTTACAGTCCTGTAACTTTTTTTTACCGAAGACAATGCACACTCGGGATTCCCCTTGTTCAGAGAAAAGGCATATTCCCTTTTCCTTCCATATATATGTTGTTTCTATACATGTACCTCTGTACATATATATGAATACACACACGTGCACACACATACATGTATATATGTATATATATGAATATACATATGTGTATATATATATATATATTTATATATATATATATATATATATATATAAATATATATATGTATGTATGTGTACATATATGAAGATATATACATATATGAATATATATATATATATATATATATATATATATATATGTGTGTGTGAATATAAGTATATGAATATGTATGTGCGTGTATATATGTATATATAGAAACAGAAATACTAACACGGTAAACATGTGTATTCATACTAAAAGACGTTTTTCGCTGAGTTCCTCTTTAGACGACGAAAAAAACGAATTCTGGATTTCAGTTTTCTAACACATCAATGTGATTTTTTTTTTTTTTTACTGCAGTTATTACATATATTATATGTATACATTCATATATTCATACACATAACAACCCCACCCACCCTACACACATGCATATATATACCTATACAATATATATATATATAACACGCCGATCCTGAACCACACACGTACCACCACTACCCCATCTACTACCATTATCCTCACAATCATCATGCCAAACAACTGAAAGGCGATTGACTGGCCAGTCATCCAGGTGGCAGAACCTCCTTCGTGGCTTCTCAACTCTCACTAAATGCTCAGCGAACCCCATGCCGAAACCTAAACCTGAACAAGCAGCTGACTCTGATTCCGCCAATACTTATAGTTACCAAGCAGACCCACTATGGATACAATCATGGATATCGCTACCCTTACAATAGCTATCGTTACAGCCACTACTACGGTTATCCTCATAGATACCATAGCCACCACAAGAGATCAGTCGAATCTGAACCCGATCCTGAACCTCATTACACCTATCACGGACGCCCTTACTACTACAACGATACTACCACGGTTACCCCATTACTTTCCTCTTACCTCTACCGCTACAGGAAATGAGGAAGAGGTCAGGCATAGATTGCAGCAGGAATCGTGGCGATGGTCCTTTACCAGATGTCTGATAGTCCACTTTGCTCACGCCGGTTTTTCAGGCACGGGCTCAAAGATTTTTTCTGGCAAGTTGGAACATGAAATATAATATGTAAAGAATAAAGATTACAGTCAGTATTAAATGATTTTTTAAAGTATAAACTTCTATATCTAAATATCACAGCTATAACTATGAATACTATTCTTGAAGTAGATGTTGACGTATTTTTAGCCTTTAAGTAGTGTATAGAGAATGTTCAAGAATCATCCTAATGAAAATGTGTATATATATGTTTATCCATATATGTGTATATATATATGAATGTGGGTATACGTGTATATGTACATATATATATACACATATATATGTATATATGAATATATGAATATATACAAGAATATATGTATATAAGTAAATATGTATGTATATATATC